ATTGCTAAACTGACACACCCATGATGTTGTTGGAGATTCAACAGTAAGGCCTTTTTTCCCCCTCAACAGACGGAGAAAATAAAACAAAACTGCATGGGAAAAGGATGTTTTTCACCCTTGTGCTTTATTGCCTTAGGTCATTCCCAATCTGTAAGGAAGCAACTAAATAATAAGCCCTTAATAAAACAAGTTAATGCCTATGGCTAGGATTATAAACTTTAATGAGACTAACAGCCCACCAATAGCCCACTGCTGGAATAAGGTAAGTAATAAAAGTGGGTTTGAAAGCTGACTAGCCAGATATCCACAAACTCTGGGAGAAGCTGGATTCAAGTGGCCAATAATATTGCTAATGAAGACTGGGGTGGGGGGAGGACAAAGGGAGAGGATGAGAAGTGGAAGAAGAGCTTAGAGTAACAAAACTGTGGGAATTCAGACACACTGAGCGTTGTGCTTTGTATTACCAAATGGAGGGAGTGCTTCTTGTCAGTCTCTAATTCAAATGGGCTGTTTGGTTTACTCTATTCCCAAAGCATAAACTATGGTTTTTTTATAGCCTACGCAGTGTGCTATTTTAAACATGTGGAGGAAATGCATTTTCAGTTACAAACATTTGCTCCTGTGAATCTGTTCTTGTTCGCTAGCAAAGGATGTGGGACAGGATGTTTTACTCTCCTGCTCTGGTTTTCCTGTATTGCTAAAATCTATTTAGAGAGAAGCAAAATAAATAAATAAAGTATTTCTGCTCAGCAATTTCTATAAACTGAAGCAACTCCAAAAATGAAAATGAAAAAAAGTCTGTGGAAAAAAATATTAGAATAATTTTCTTTTAATAAACTGGATTACTCCTATAGATTCTTCCTTTAGAAAAACTTTCCATGCCATTCACGTTGAGCCTGCAGCAGATGCTAGTGTTGGCACAGATAAAACGTACTTAGAGACACCAGATCAGCGGAATTCCTCCTGACCCTGTCTTTTCCCAAGCACAGTTACAACTGTAGAAGCTTTCTGAGATGCAAGAAAAATGGTCATGCCAACTTTGAGGGTCATCTTCTGGATTATTCAGAAATTCAGGGTACACTGTATCATTAACTCAATGTATCCCCATTTTCATGTACAGCTCTGAGGACTTGTTTATTCAGGCAGGCATATCCTTGTAATCTGTTATGTCCCATTATAACTTGCAAAAAAATTGATTTTGATTAAATTTCACTTTACCCCTTTAAAAGGGAGTCAGTATAATCAACTGAAAGATATTTTAACGGTTGGCCCCTCCAGATTCCCTCCACACTGCTCTCTGCCCCAGATGCTGCCCTGTATGGACGAAAAACTCTTCTGGATCAAGCCTTGGTCAGGCTTCTCTGAGTCCTCTCCTCAACTAGGTCTCAATCTCGGTCCCGTCCTTGCTGGGCTTGCACAGCTCAGTTTTAGCAAGAGTCCTGCAAAGTCAGTTTAAAGAGAATCCCCCACTCTTGATATCTGATCTATCCGATCATTCTCCATATCTGACGGAGTTCCTCATTTTCCACCTTTGATGTATAAGTCCTAGCCTGCCTTCAGCAAGAATCCCCCCACTCCCACCCTTGTCTTCTCTTAGTGATAGTCCATCCACTCACCCTGCCCGCTCTCATGCTCTTCCTTGGCTATCAATCCCCAGTTGTCTTTGCTGTATTCAGAGTTGAGCCTGATCTCTCGTCCCTATTCTGATAGTCTTAACACCTACTGCAATAATCCTGAGTAAATCTTCCTTACCATTTTAACAAGTATCAGAATAGTTTTTCTTTCACAAGACTCAGTGGTCAATGGAGTGTCCTGGCAAGAGATGGGAGGGAGGAGTGAGAGATCTGGGTCTTTATTCTCCTGGCTTCTCGCTGGAGGGTCCCTCACTCAGTGAAGGTCTCAGCTCCTGTCAGAAGGCCCTGGCTGCCATAAACTGCTCCCCTTCTTGCCCCTTCAGGTCTAGGGGTGGTCATGGAGCCTCATTATTACCAGCCCCGGGGACACTGCACTATTCCTATCCCTGCGGTTTTTCATTACTTCGTGAATTATTAAGCTCTCCTCAAAGTATCCTAATTTGAGGATGCCATCTGTTCCCTGCTGGGTCTCCCTAATATAGAGATCATCTCTGCAGATTTCTTATCCTAGAAAGGCTATTTATTAGCTCTTTCTAAGAAAGGAAGGCATGGATCCAGAATGCAGTGATACTTCCACGAGTGACTTAGTGACTTCAACAAGCTGACCTTGTTAAGCTGCGACTTCTCCCTCCTCTAGTTATCTTCATAATTACAGTGACAGAGGATTTTCTGAAACACGTAGTTTCCAAATAGAATCTCTAAGCATCAACAGGGATTATTTTAAGGGATTATTTACCACTAAGTAAGGAGGCTACAGGTAAAAATTGTGCTAGTTGAAACTAACTATGCTACAAACCTAAGGTAGAAGAAACTTTGCCTTTAATTCTATCTGACACTTAATCCAGAGGTAACTTTCACAGTAATACTTTTAATCAATTCAAGAGACACTATTTAATAATACTAGATACGAGCCTGGTAACCAAAGTAAAAGCCTGTAGAAGGCTAATCTATATGTAGTCTAGATTAGTATTTTCTCAAATTCAGATTGTAATAGATTGTGAAATCTATTCAATGAGTCATAACATTTAAAAAAATAACAGGGGGGGCCGAGTGGCGCATTGGTTAAGAGCTGGCTTGGGACGCCAGAAGGCTCTGGTTCGGATCCCACATATGAGGGCCAGTGACACTGCCCTCTACAGCTAAGATGCTGAACAACAGCTCAACCTGGAGCTGGGCTGCCATGAATCGCCGGTGATGGCGTAGGCTGCAGCCTCTGCTGCAGTGGGTTGCCATGGGCTACCGTGTGTAGCCAGCAGCCAGCGTGAGCGGCCAGCAGCCAGCGTGAGCGGCCGTCCAGAAGCCGGAGACTGATCTGCCTTGCCTGGGAAGAGTGCAATGATGGTGCCAACTTGGGCCAGTGAAGCAACATCCTCCATAACTAGATTGAAGAACAAAATGACAGCAACTTGTCCGTTTCCCTTCCCCCAATTCCCCAGCACTGTTCCCATCCACCCAATAGCCCAATAAAATAAAATAAAATAAAAATAACACATACTACACATAATAATGTAAGACAGAAAATGAGAACTCACCATATATCATAAAGGTAAATATTATTTCACTAACTTTTTATTTCACTTTTTTACATACCTATATCTATGCATGTACTATGGCATACTGTAAAATGTATTCCTTACTGCGAGTGGCAGTCAATAGAGTTTGCAAGCTAATGGTCTGAAGAGAATCCCTTTCAAACAATGATTATAAGGCTTAAAAACATGTTGCTTCAGCCTACAGGCTCACTTTTTAAAAATCTCAATCCTCACTAAAAATAGTTTATTTTGTGACCCAGTACCAGCACATCAGTAACTGAAATAAAAATGTTACGAAGCAATATTAACTCTCACTATGTGATGTATTCTAATATTTTGTGTCCTATTTCATTTCTTTTACATGGTGACTGCAAACCACAGCTTGAAAAGTCCTGGCCTAGCGTATTAACAAGGCCAAGCCTGGAGAACTGTTCACATTACTCTGGTCCATCCACAACTGCCTTTGTCAGCATTTACATCATTTCCACTGTGGTAACAAAGCACTTATATCCTTTTCCTTCTTAGGGTTCTGTGTACATGACTCCTGCCACCTGGTCGCTCCAGTGGGAGAGAAATGCTTGGAGTATGGAGCAGATGTGGACGTAGCCCCAGCCACACGTCCTTACACTCACCGCCATGGCACACCCTGACAGCAGCACCTTACTGCAAGCACCTACAGTCCGCAGCCTGAGGAATGAGGCCAGGTGGAAGCAGCAGAGCCAGTGACAGATGACAACTGGAGGATAAATATCCCAGCCTCCTTGCCCTCGCTGTATTCTTCACCATCCCCGAGTTCCCCGGCAGGGCTGAGTACTGGCCACCGCCAGCAGTGACCTGCTAGGTAACGCACCTGTGCTGGCTTCCTTCTCCCCTCTTTTTAACTCCCTACTGGGGCTTCCTGAAATCACCTTCCACATTAACGACTTGCATTCAAACCTTCATCTGAGGGGCTGCTTCTGGGTAAACACAACCTTGGGGAGCACACCAGTGTAACACAGAGTTGTTTGGAGCCAGGGCTGCAGAGATGAGAAAGGCCTGTCCTAGCACAGCTTATTATCTGATAGGAAAACTCATTAATTTTTTTTCAATGTAAAAAAACAAAACAAAACTTTACTGTTCATAGCAATGATGTTAAGTATGTTTAGGGATAAAAGGACGAAGTGGCAACTCTAACAGAAGGGTAAGAAAGCCCCTATAGGTGATTTTTGTAACCCAGACACCTCAAGGACACAGAGCTCCCCACAGGTGTGGTCCATGTCGCTTCTCTGTAGGCTAGTGCCCTGGGCTCTCATGTTCACTGTGAGGCTCTACTTCTTACATATAGGTTAAGAAGAAAAGGGTGTTTATTTCCTCCAAAGACAGAGAATGCTAGTCTTCTGCTAAAAATAACTCAAGTAATATGGAAACTATGAAGGGAGAAAAGCTATTAAGTTCCTGACAATCTGTTAATAGAATTATTTGTAAATCAGCTTTGACCTTTTAATGTGCTTTTCAGGTCCTTGGGGTGGGAGTGAGTCCTCAGCCCAAATCTTCATTAGATGTTTTGATGATATTATCATTCAAAAACTATTTTTAAATGTAAAGTTTACATGGTCAGCTCTGTAGTCAACACTGTGAATCAGGACTTTTTTCAGGCTGGAATCAAACTACAGACCTATGGCTAATTTTCCACTGCAGCTTCCATGTTGGCAAATATTTCAGCAAAGGCAGAGCAGAGCATGGTTCCTTCTCTCAGGAAAGGAGTCATGACAGCTACAGTTAAAGCGGGTCCTTAAACTGAAAACAGTTTCTCCAACGTGCCAGGGACATCTGGGTCTGGGGCTGGACTACTCACCCGGACCCGGCAGGCAGGGATGGCAGAGCTGAAGGGACATGAGCCTGTGGGTTTTCTTTCTCATTTTGCTTGAAGAAGGATTTGGCCTCTCTAGATGTAGCATCTACTTCCTTAGTCACCCTGTTCCAAGGAAGGAGATGTTAAGTTTACAAGAGGAATAAAAAGAGAGAAACAAAATCTAAAACAGGGAATAAATAACAAAGAAAATACCCACTGGGCTTTCAGTAAGTTCCGGCTGCTGAGCTTTCTGGTTCAAGTTTACTACAACAGTTCTAGATGAAGACATTTTCCCAGACTAAACGAAACAACAATGTATGTGAACTTATCTCTCTCAAATCCCCTCCATCACGAAACACGCCAGTAGTCACTCCTGAATCACAGGCCTTGGGGGTTACTGATGTGAAGGCTGGAAAAGGCCCGCACGTGTCGATTAGGACTCACACGTAAAGGCCCAGTAAAAGCGGAAGGGGAGATGGAATATTTGGGAGAAAAACGCTGGCATTTTTCAAAGAGAAAAGCAACAGTATAAACAATTGGAAACACTTGGCAGAAGGCTCCTGTTCTACACCTAAAAAACAACGCAGAGATGAAACAAGATCCCTTAAAAATGGCTAATTCAGCACTAATTTGGGAATGGCATTTATATGATTGAGAACCTGTCCAATTTCAAATCTGGAAAAAACTGCCTTCAATAAAACTGAGAAGGAAAAAATAAGGATATTTACGGTACCTGAAATTTCAGATAAATAAAGGAGAAATGCCCAATGCCTACGTAGGCTTGACAAGTCAACAAAAACATCTGAGGAATCCTGTTTAAATTCCAATCTATCTGTAGGATAGGGTCCAGGATGACGGTCGCTATATTACAAGTGTTCAACCAGGTCATCCAGAATCAGACTGGCCAATTACGACAGGTGAATCCTTTAAATTCCATCTTTGCAGGAATATAAGTCTCTATCTCTTCTCTCCTTCCTTCTAGGCTTCTTAGGATCAGAACCAAATTTTCTTAAGAGCCATCTCACTCCTGAACTTAGTACTGTGTCACCCACACAAGTGGCACAGAGCAAGAGTTGGACAGTTTTGTATTAAGAATCTCCACTGGTAAAGACTGCCTAGTTAATCTTAAAGGGCTACTTTAAAAAACAAAAACCAACAAACAAACACAAAAAACCTGTGTTAGTCCCTGCTCAAGTTCAAGTTCTTGTGATGGCTCAGTATTACTCAGAGGATCAAACGTAAACTGCTGAGTCTTGCCTTCAAGGCCCCCCAAAATTTGGTCCTACTCTCTATCAGGCTTAATTTGTGCATCCCTCAGCTCTCCCAAATGAACCTCTCAGTAATGAGTCAAGAGTCAAAAATAAGAGGAAGAATTTATATGACAGATTAGGCCGTCGTTCAGCAAATATTCACTCCTTCCCTGTTGACCAAGAAGATACTTCCCCACCCCACTAATGTTGAGTGTGGATACATGACTTGCTTCAGTGGTCGGTGAGATGCTTGCTGATTTAACAGCAATAGAAGCTTCCAATGTGTTCGTGCTGTTTCACTTGCCCTTGAGTGCTACCCTTTAGCCACTAGAATAATATGCCTCAGGTATACTTGCTGCTGGTCCAAGATGCACAAAAGACACATGCTGCAGATCTGGACCCGACTAGCAGCCTGGAGTCAAGCCTAGTGAACCCAGATAATCAGAAACACATGAGCAACAAGCAAATGCATACTGGTGTATGTATACCACTGAATGTGGGGATGGTTCCTTACACAGCATTTCGGCAACAGCTGAAATATTTACATTTCATGAATGAGAGAACTGAAGTCTAAGGGGTTAAGTTACTTTTTCAATACTAGCTAGAGATTAAGTAGCAAAGGCAGAGAGAAGAACCATGCAATAGACTCTATTTCCCACAGATGGTTGCCACAAATTTCCCATCCCACATGCTATTCTAGAACTTGATTCTATGCCAACGAGAGGGTGGGTGTATATCACCACCCCTTGAAACTGGGTGGGCCTTTGGCAGCTTTGATTCAGAGTTCAGTGCAAGTGAGCTGAGTCTTGCTGGTAAAAGGTGACACAGCTTCCACCAGGTTTTCTCTCTTGGGAATGCACCTTTGCAACCCCAAGTTACCACACAACAGGAAGTCTGGCTACCTTGAAGCCATCATGCTGGAGAGAACATATGGGAAGGCCACACACACAGAGGAGAGGGGCCTGAGGAGCCTGGTCCAGGTCCCAGGTGTTTAAGTCTTCCTAGCCCAAGGCACCAGATGTGGGAGTAAGGGAGCCTTCAAGATGGCTCCAGACCCAGCCCCTACAGCTGCCTGGACACCCTGAGAACTGCCTAGCTGAGCCCAACCATCCCCAGAACTATGAGAAATCACAATAAAACAATTGTTTTAAGCCACTAAAATTTGGGGTGCACTACTTGCACTACTATATAGACAACCAAAATAAACCCACATCCAAACGTAAAGCTTAATGCAGAGTCCCAGAGTATTGGACTAGAAAGAGTTGCCTTCAATCTCCTTGCCCTGGGTAGAACCTGGGGCAGACCTGAGATGGCTCATGGAGAACAAGTAGAAACTTCCACTTAGAAATGGTGGTCTGAACACAGGCTTTCTTCTCCATTCCTTACCAAATTTCTGCTAAACAGTGTAAACAAATTTACAAAGGCAAAATTACACATGGATAATAAGAAGAGAGATAACAGAATAGAGATATCAATCAAGTTTTCAGAAGATAGAAAGCAAACAGACAAGTAGAAATTGGCTTAGGTTTTTGTTTTCTCTGATCCCTTAGACCTGTAGCCATATGGAATGGCCAACAAAAAGCAAAACAGTCTGTACTACGGTATTCTAGGAAGGCCCAGGAACCTTTGAAGGTGGAGGCGTAGGACTAAAACCAGCTGCAAGTTTGCATCAGGAACAAATAGGTTCCAGGTCCCCTCCTCCCTCATTCCAGAGGCTACTGTCTGTTACTAATTCAGCAGAGCCTATTACTCTTTCGAGAAATGAAAATCACAGAAATTCTAGACTCAAAGGCCAGGGTTGAAGTCTCATTCTGAAAACAGGGGAATTAAATAAAAATCTATTTGCTCACTCTCCGTTTGCCACAGCAACCTCGAAGGCTATGTGTTCTAGATGGCTGAGGTATAAGATAGGGTGCTACCCAACCTGTACTGGACTTTGCACCAGTAAAAAATGAATATGTACTGTGTTATGCTACTGAGTATCTGCGTTTATTTGTTACCCCAGCACAGCACAGCCTAGCCTTACTAGTACATGAATTTAACAAATAGGAATTTCAGAAAAAGAAAATATGGGAGAGGTTATCAACAAAGAAAATTTTCTAGAAGGATGAATCTCTACAAAAAGAATGTTCCACAGAACATCTGATGTAGCAAATTTTAAAAAGGCCCACATCATTATGAAATTTTAGAATATTGGGGATAAGAGAAGATGAAGATCAAGTGGCCCAAATTATAGGGAAAGTAAAAGAAGTCTTTATGTTTTGTTTTGTTTTTTACTTGTTTTACCAGAGGACTAAAAAAAACTTGTATAGCAGCCACCTGAGATAATTTGGTAAAAAATTTCTGGAAAGCAACCTAAATCCAGGCACTGTGTTAGATGTGGGACCTATAAAAAGATATGACACGGTCTCTGCCTGTAAGGGGCTCACAGGCTATCATATCAGGGCAGCCAACCATGAAAACATGTCATGACAATACTTGATCTCCAGTAAGTTATAAAGGAAGCATGGAAAAAGTATAACCGTGGGAGTTCTCTTAATATAAAAGAGGGAACCCTGACAAGAGGAGGCCCACTATTAGCAGTAGTTAATTCAAGTGTTATCAGCAGAAATTCCATTTTAACTTCATTTTCACTTAACTCAGAACTCCCTGAAGTCTTTATTTAAGCATAAACTTTCCATGACTGGTCTTTTCCAAACGTGAATCATTTAGGAAAGTCTGAGCTAACTGGCTCAGCTGGTTATGTGACAGGGAAGGATAAAAAAAATACTATTTTTCCTTATTCTCCAAGGTTAATAAGCTACACATTTTTCAAGTGGGGAAAAAACAAAATGAAGAGGTAAAAATCCAAAATCTAACAATTGAAACATAATTAGAAAGAAATAAAAGTCTAACTTTCTGCTAACACTACCTTATACTTATACTTACAAATTCTTCCCAGTCATCACTAGCTCTTTCTCACATTTCTTAAAGATGTAGTAATGCTCCTAACTTGATACAAAAAAAAGGGCAAAATAATGACATCAAGAGATAAAAAGATATGCTCAAAACTATACACCAAGTTTGTATCTGGCTGTCCATTAAAATTCAGGCCTCCCAAGTTCCTACATGAGGATTCTTCATAATACCTGAATTTGAGTATAAAAATTTAATTGGGGCTGGCCAAGTGGCGCAATGGTTAAGAACTGGCTTGGGACACCAGAGGGCCCCTGTTTGGATCCCACATATGAGGGCCAGTGACACTGCCCTCTACAGCTAAGATGCTGAACAACAGCTCAACCTGGAGCTGGGCTGCCGTGAGTCACCGGTGACGGCATAGACTGCAGCCCCTGCTGCAGTGGGTTGCCATGGGCTACCGTGTGTAGCCAGCAGCCAGCGTGAGCGGCCAGCAGCTGCAGTGAGCGGCCGTTCAGAAGCTGGCGACTGATCTGCCTCGCCCGGGAAGAGCGCAATGATGGTGCCAACTTGGGCCAGTGAAGCAATGTCCTCCACAACTAGACTAAAAAACAAAATGACAACAACTTGTCTCTTCCCCTTCCCCCAATTCCCCAGTACTGTTCCCATCCCCCCAATTCCCCAATAAAAAAAAAAAATCTTAAAAAAAAAAAAAATTTAATTTAAAACAAAAATCCTGCCCAATTGCCAAGTATTAACAGGGTTTTTGTTTTCTTTTGGAGAAAAGAGTTAGAGAACTTTCATTTGTCATGTTATATATCTCTGTAACGTATTTTTTAAAGTAATAAAATATATTATTACTTTTGAATATATGTTATATTACTTTTGAATATGTTATATTAATATTTATTATTATATGAAAAAAAAGTGCTTCCTTATTCATGTTTGACAGACATGGTGCTGCCCTCTTCTGACAATCACAGAAGTAGCAGGCTTCCTGAATACCCATTCAGTATTTGTAATAATTTACATACAGAAGTCGTAATTTCATCAACCCAATTTAGATTAAATTAACAAGAAAAAATTAACCTATTTTGTCATATTAAAAACTTTAAAAATTAATATACACAGCATTTATTCAAAGTATGTGTCTAGATGTTCACTACTGAGAGCTGGTGTTTTACTTAGTTTTTTGTTTCAATTACAGAATGAAAGGGTATAAATATAACAGTGATTCCCTGTATTAATCACTTACACTCACACTTCCAATGAACAGCATGTATAGTTATAAATTCTTTTCCTTTTCCTACCTTATGTTCATTTTGACTATGTTTATTAATATGTAATTATATGTCTGTTAAATTTTATTGCTAAAAATTTGGGCTTGTATGTTATACTTATTTTTCTATAAATCCTTTTTTTTGTGTTTTACAAAAGTACTGGTCTGCAACGGGTTGAAAATTTTAAATCAGGGTCCTTCACCACAGAGAGTGTAGATAATAATCTGCATTAAAATGAGATTTACTGGATGGGAGAGTTATATTGTATCACGAAAGAGAATGTCCTTGTTCTTAGGAAACAGTATTGAAGTATTTATGAGTGAACAAATTCTCTAATGTGTACAAGTATTTCTCAAATGGTTCAGTCAAAACAAAAAGAGAAATACAAATATATACGGAGGAGAGAGAGGCAAAACGTTAACAAGCAGTGAATCTATGTGATAACTATGTGGGTGTTCTTTGTAATATTACCCTTGCAACGTTTCTGTAAGTGAAATTTTTCAGAAGAAAAAGTTGGGGAGGAAGTATTTTTAAATAATAATAAGTTTTGCTCCACACCATTTATAAAACGAATAATGCCAAATCCTTTTTTCCGAGATGTATTTTCACTGGACAAAAAAAATCATTGGAAAGTAGATATTATTTTTAAGAGTATCAATTTTAGGGGAAATCATACTTTCAGAGAAATTATATTTTTAATTACTGTCAAAGAAAATAAATGTGACTACCTAAAATATTATCGATTGGGACTTAATCTGTTCTCATTTAGCTCTAAACTACAGATCTGCTGTTTTCACATAATAAAATTTAAATAAACAGGAAAGAGGAAATTCTAGGCATGTAGCTCTTACCTAGAACCAGGAGGTCATTAAGCCCCTACTGTTTTTCTAAACCAGTAACAAACCTCATGAATCAATTATAAACAATAATATTAACCCTTTTGCCTTGATGTTTGTTTATATCCGAATGAATATACCAAAAATTTCTTTTTCCCTTAAGATCTTTATTGAAAGACAGCTCACATACAACACAATATTCCTTTCGGGCATCTCTCCGAAATTTTTATATATAAAAATAATGTCATTTATATACAAAATAGCTCAAATTGTTATTATCAAATACATAAAAGTCAAAATATCAACTTTTGTTTTTTGTGGATTTCTGACACATTTTGGAAAAAAAACTTGAAATCAACGCAGTGAAAGAGTTAAGGTGAGGCAATAAAACTGGAAGCAAATTTCTCTCCTGGTACTTTCAATTCTTACCTGATTTCAAAGGCTTCACTGAGACTCATACTTCACAGTCAAGGAAAATAATAAAGGAAGAAATGACTCAGTCAAAGTCACAAAGCATGGCCATGAGTAAGGGACCATATACTTTAATTTACTCTTACATTTATTTTCTTGTTTCTGCTCAGCCAACCACATCATAATACCCCAAAGTACATTACCATATGTGAAAGGACCTTTCTCATGTTCCCTGATAATTCACAGAGCCCCCGTTTTCCTTGAGATCTAATATAACTTACAAAATACTACGATGGGTTGGAATGAGGCCAGATGTCTAACACCATTTAGAAGGGGGCTCATTTTTAAAAGAACTACTTCTGAAGGCTGTGATGGTCATCTTACCTGACTTCTTCACCAGCAAAATCAAACACCTTGGTGATTTTAACTTTTTCTGTTTCTTTCGGTTTCTCTGGCTCTTCTGCTTTGACCACCGATGTACCTGAACTCGTCTCTTCAGTCTCCTCTCTTTTCTATGAGAAAAGTTAAGAAATGTAATCAGTTTCACGTAAGGAAAGAACCACTCAAACATGCTGTTTATGGCTATTCCTAAATGTGTCATCTCTGAACAGCTAAAGACCTATTGAAAATTTATTTGAATAAAAAGCTTATTTTTTTCTACCATAGGGAATGCTTTGCTTTTCGCTTAATAGAGTTACTATCAAAACGCATCTCTGTAGTCTGACTTCTGCTGTAAGTTTCAAATCTCAGTCTGTAAATTGAAAAAAATCTATCCGGGGAAACATTCATGTATCAACTTACTTTAACTGGTGGACTCGAGGGCACTTTTGCTTTGGATCCCACATCATTGAGGAAGCTGGCCCACAGTTCATCCTCCTTCTTCTTCCTTGCATCCTCTGACCCAGTGCCTTTTTCCTGCTCTGCCGCTGAGTCTTCCCCCTCACTGCTACTTCCTCCAGATTCCCCACTGGCATCCTCCTCTTCCTCTTCCTCTTCTTCTAACATGAGGCCACCTTGTCTTCTCTTCCTAATCACCAATAGTCACACACAAAGAAGATAAGACAATGCAAAATGATTTCAGTTATTCCTTCCTCAATTCGAAACATAATGTTGCAAACCTAAGAAAACTTGGATCTGGGGGCAACTGATAAAGACGCACATTGAGTGGGGCGTAAGAGAGGTACACTGAAATTTTGTGGAAGAAAAAAAGAATTGAGCTCTTTAGCTTTTCCCCCAAACACTTTCAATCAAAATATAATGTTCTACTTCTAAAGTCAGGACCAGCTATTTTCACCAAGAAAAACCCAAAATCACCTCACAGAATCAATCTGTCTGGCAGTGTTCCAAGAACATCTATGTCAGGTATTTTTGACTTTTTTAAAGTCATTACATTTGGAGAACATGTCTATTGAGGAGAGTTTCTTCCTAGAATTCTGTGGTGGGGGAAAGCCATGTTTCTTTCCACTTTCTGAGGATATGAAAACTGGAATACAGAAAACCTCAAGGACAAAAGAACTGGGCCCAAGGCTCATGAGAGAAAATTAATTCTGACTTCTAATACGTAAAGTGGATCTAATACCTAAATTTTTTTTTTCTGTTTTTATTTTATTTATTTTATTTATTTATTTTTTTTTTTTAGCTGAGCCATCCTGCCACCTGTTGGCAGCTCAGTGGCAACTCAGCTCGGGCTGGACTCAAACCGCTGTTGCTCAGAGCTCAAACCCTTGAGCGAGCTCTTAACCAACTGAGCCACTCAGCCGGCCCTTTTTTTTCTGTTTTTATAAACTACAATCTGCTTTTTTACTTCAGTGCCCAGGAAGACAGGAACATCAATCAAAGAGAATAAAAAACTTCTATGGAAGATTCTCTTATTTGAGTTACATAACCTATCAGAATTTTCATAACTTTTGGTGGGAGTGTAATTCAGTACCAGGTCTATGAAAGACAATTTGCTAATATCTCTAAATAATATTTTTAGTGCATATAACCCTGGATCAAACAATTCTACTTCTACAGATCTGATTTACAGAGATACTTCTACACATATACAAAGACACTGCAGTCTTGCTTGTTGTAGTAAAGATGAGGGACAATCTAAATGTCTCTCAGTAAGGGAATCCTTAAATAAAGTCTAATCATATAATGAAATATTATGCCATCACTGAAAAGAATAAGGTATAGCTAGATATACTCCCATGATATCATCTCCAAGATGTGAAATGAAAATGAGAAGAAATATGCAAAGTACACTATTTTGTTTCTTGTTTTAAAAGGAGAGTAGGAAATATATACATACATGCTTGTACATGTATAGAATATCTCTGGTAACATAGTTCTTCTGAGGCAAAGCCACATGGGCTAGAGACAGTGTACACATTTTCGTAGTAATTGAGTTTTTCACTTTAAACACGTGTACATATTATCTATTAAATTTTTTTTAATTGAAGCTCAAAATTTTGTAAAGCTCGCCAGAGACCAAAAATTTAATCCTAAAAATGTCACCAAATGTTTCCCTCAAGAGAAAAAGGTAAGAAACCCTGGCAGCAAGAAATCTATCATCAGACCAATCCCAGCAATGAGACTTGTTGTGACAGCCGCTGACTTCTAAGGGCCTTGAGGGCAGCATCACCTGGCCGGCGTGCTCTGAGCCTTTCTTTTCTTCCCTTTGGTTTTCTGTGTCTGCTCTGCACCATCCACTTCATCTTCCTTCACTAATTCATTTACATCATCTTCACTATACTCTCCACCTGAAATCACATAATAGGGTGGTCACACAGACAGGAATACAGGCTTTCACAACAAGATGAGACATTTTCATTACAAAAAAGTCTAGTACTTTCTATTATTCTTCAACTAAAATATCATTTCCCTAGGGAAGCCTTCTCTGTCCCTGGAGACTAAGCTAAGCTCTCAGATTCTAGGCTCCCGTGGCAGTCCACATTTTCCTCCGTAACTCATCCCACTTATATTTAATGTTTGGAATTTCTGCTATGCTCTACACGAGGACGTGGATCCTGTTTGTCTTTATAAATATTTGCTGAATGAATAAACAGAAATTCCACTTCTGCTACTGTTCTTTTCAAAGAAAAAACTGATACTCCCACCTCATCTTGGATATCTTTCCAAAAAAAGCAAATGATACCTTGTCTTGTCAATAAAAGGGGTTTAGAAAAGAGGCCTAAAGACTTCCAGTTAGACATAGCAGAAATAACAAACATGTCTATTCCCCATCCTCAGACACTGACATTCAGGCATTCCCAACAAAGAAGTGTTGCCAAGATCCCAGTCTGTCCACACTGTGGACACCAGTCAATAAATCCTGCCCACATGGAGATTCAGCTAGTTTTACTTCATATAAACTTTTATTTGAAGTATAACACATATCAAAAAGCACACAAATCTAATGTACAGCTCAATGAAATGACGCAAAGTGAACACACCTGTATAACCAGCACCCAGCTCGAGAAGCAGAACATTATGACCACATTCCAGAAGGGCACTCATGCCCCTTTGCAGTCACCAGCCACCAATCGCATCCCAAAGGTAACCACAATCCTGACTTCAAATACCAGAGGTTAGTTTTTTGTGTTCCTGACTGTTAAGCAAACAGAAGCCTACAGTATGTGCTCGTTTGTGTCTGGCATCTTTCATTCAACATTCTGTTTGTGAGAGTCACCTACATCGTTATATGTATAGTTGATTCATTCTCATCCCGAAATAGTATTTCATTGTATGATTACATCAAAATTCACTTACGCATTCTTCTGTTGATGGGTATGTAGGTTGTTTCCAGTTTGGAGCTATTACAAATAGTGCTGTTTTGAATATTCCTGTACATCTAATCAGCTTTTAAATGTTTCACTCTCAATGAACCAAGGACTACCAAACACTTGAGGAAAGCCTCCAATACAAAAGGCAAGACTGAAAACAAGTAGAAAGAAATTCCAAGGAAACAGAACTAGAAAAAAAAAAGACTTAAAAAAAATTTAAAGCCTTTATTTATAATTAATATCCTCAGAGGCATCCATGAATGAAATAAGAATAAGATGATGGAAAAAAAATTGTTTTTTGAAAACTAAAACAAAATAACATCCCAAACTCTTAAAAATTACAAATATGATAGCAGAGATTAGAAAAAAAGAACAAAGATGCTAAGAAGGAGCCAGCCATGTGAAAATCTGGATATTTAAGCATTTGAGGCTGAGGGAACAGTAAATATTGGATTGTTGGGAAAGTCATAATGCATTTTTGCAATGAAAAACATAGAAAAAATACGTCATGACTTTTCCTACAACCCAATATAAGGGCTCTAAAATGAAAAAAAGTTTGCTATCCAGACACCAAGATAGTGAAGATGCTTCATGAAGAGGAGTTTCAGGTTAAGATGGCAGTCTACACACACAAATGTAATTTTGTTTCCTCCTGACACCCCAGTAAAATCACTACAGCAAAAGGACTTTTAAAGCCATAAACACACCATGCTAGGTACCTAGCTGCACTGTATTTGTTTACATTTGCAAAAGGCAACACTGGAAGGATAAACAAAAAACTAATGAAAATAGCTGTCTATAAAGGTCAGGATAGAGCAAGGTGGAGTATGCAGGGGCAGAAGCTAGAGTTTTCTGTTATCTTTCTACAGAATTTTGAAAATCCCTTAAGAACAGTTTGAATAAGCAAATAAACATAACTATACACCCAAACAATAACATGACCCACAAAGTAGGGATTTATTCCAAGGAGTTTAAACACAGTTCTGTTTTTGTTTTTTTTTTAATTAAATATATATTTGACATTCAATATAATTTTATATTAGTTTCAGGTGTACAGCATAGTCGTTAGACATTTATATAATTTATGCAGTGACCTCCCCCCTCCCCCCATTAGTCTAGGCATCAGGCACTATACATAGTTGTTGCAACATTACTGACTATTCCTATATTAGAAACACAGTTTCTTGACTATACATCCTTAGCAAGACACAGTCTAGGGCCCGGTGCGATGGTTAAGAACTGGCTTGGGATGCCAGAGGGCCCGGTTCAGATCCCACATATGAGGGCCAGTGACACTGCCCTCCACAGCTAAGATGCTGAACAACAGCTCAACCTGGAGCTGGGTGCCGTGAGTCGCAGGCAACGGCGTAGGCTGCAGCCCCTGTAGCAGTGGGTTGCCATGGGCTACCGTATGTAGCCAGCAGCCAGCGTGAGCGGCCAGCAGCCGCAGTGAGCGGCCGTCCAGAGGCCGGCGACTGATCTGCCTCGCCCAGGAAGAGCGCAATGATGGTGCCAACTTGGGCCAGTGAAGCAACATCCTCCACAACTAGACTGAAGAACAAAAGGACAGCAACTTGTCTGTTTCCCTTCCCCCAATTCCCCAGCGCTGTTCCCATCCCCCAATTCCCCAATTAAAAAAAAAAATCTTTAAAAAAAAATACAGTCTAAAAACCAAAAAAGTTCTATTTCTTGTAGTAACATCAATGTGGATATTGTGAAACTATTTCCTTTATATGATAGGTGAAAGTAACTAATTATGTTGTTAGGAATCCAGATTTTCAGAAATGACACATTTATAAAATCAATGAAATTAATTGTGAAACTAAGTGTGAAAACACGTTTATACTGAATTAAAAATATCAATTTGAAATCTAATTCTTTTTAAGATAAATATTTTCCAGTCTATTCACACTGGAATACAAATAATGTCATTTTAGGTAGCAATGAGCATCTCTCTAAAGTTGAGATCTCATTCTTCAATATAATTAATTCATCACCAAAAGGCCTCCCTGGAAAAAAAAAAAAAAAAGAAACTTCAGCTAATTTCAAGTCTGAGGTGAAACTAGGACATTTTGCTGTGCCAGAAAGCAAGAAAGCTATTTAAGGATAATGGGTCACATTAAGAGGTCATAAAATCCATCTTGAAAGAAGACCTAGTGGCCAAAAGTGATGACTTGAGCATTAAAAGGAATAACTGCTAGTAGATTTAAAGACACTTAATCGATAAAAACCTGTGAACCCTTTATGATATCCAAAAAAAAAAAAACAGAAAGAAAAATTAATTTGTACCATTTTAAGCTACTATTAAAATTACTCCCCATTTTGAAAATTGGTAATTAAGGGAAAGGAATCAAACATTTATCCTGCCCCAAATGATGAGGAAAGCTATACTTTACAGAAGAACATCAACTAATAAATGTAAAAGAACCACAGAACTAGAAAAACATTTCTTACACTCTAATGATAGTAGTAACTTAGGCTAGGGCTATCAGGTAATGTTAAAACAAAAAAACCAAACCACACACACAATTTTTTTTAAATTTTTTTATTGTTAGTTTCAGATGTACAGAACAATGCAATAGTTATCCTTTTCACTCTCCCAACACACACACAATTTAAGTTTTAATTATTAGGTATACTGCCACACAAAATGCTTTCAGGTCCAAGAGAGAAAACAATTATATACTAGAGGGATCAGACTGTCTTCATCCAAATCCAACAGTCACAACTATGGGAATCAACCATGTCTTCTGAAACACACAAATCATGTATAATGTATTTTAGTAAAAAACATTTTATTTGAACCCATCAAGCATTTAGACCTAACTTCTAATGTTTGGAAAATTCAAGGGACAAAGGAACAACCTAAAACACCACCATGAGGGAGCAGCTCTGGATTTGCCAGGTTCAAATCCAGGTGAGACATTCTGCAAGGCCTGATCTCATGCAAATCAATGTCATTGGAGAAAGGTTTCTATTAAACAGGTTTAAGGGATGGAACAACTATATATGTGTAGTCCTGAACTGAACTCTGATTTGGACAAACAAGCTATAGCTATTTTGGGGTAAACTGGGAAAACTTGAATATGGTCTATATGCTAGATGAGTTGAAAGTTGACTGAAATGGATAGGGAGAGATTGTTCACTGAAAAGAGCAGGTTACAAAATAACATGAAAAAGTGTAATTTCAGATTGGGAAAAAATACAAACATCTATACCTAGATGAAGAAAAAGATTAGAGGGGGTATTCACTAAAGGATTTAACACTGATAATCTCTGGGTGGTGAGAAACTAATGATTCTATTTTTTTTCGCCTTTGTCTGCATTTTTTAATTTTCTACAAAGCTTATGCACTGCTTTTGTAATGATATAAAGTTATTTTTCATATAAATGGGCAAGTGTTGCAGATGGTTCAGACAAGGAGATGCACATGGCTCTGGATCTAAAAAGATGTTCAATCTCACTGATAAGAGACAAGCAAATTTTAAATTAAAAAAAAATCAAGATCAAATTGCATGCAGTTACTATAAGAAAAAAATAAGAAGCAGAATAACTCCCTATAGACAATGAAGCACAAAATAAATATTGTCCAAAGACTCAGAGCTTCCCTCATCTTTTTAGTCCCTCGTGCTTAAATATGAGCCAAACTAAGAATCACAGAAAACCTGAACAGCATCTAACATAATAAAGCCCAAAACAATATTATAAAGTCCATAACAAATATTATAGAACAAATAAAAATCACCTTGGAGGAAACAGAGCTTGTTTACTCATTTTATGGGGCTAGCATTATTTGATACTAAAATGAAACAAGGAAATTACAAGAAAACGACAGACCGACATCCCTCATAAACACAGATGCAAAACTCCTCAACAAATATTAGCAAATCAAATTCAGCAATATATAAAAATACATCATGACCACGTGAGTTTTATCCCAGAAATAAAAGGCTGTTCAAACTTTAAAAATCAATCAC